GGGACGCAGGCGACGCGCACGGCAGGGCGGGCGGGCCGGCGGGTCACTGAGGCAGCGGCACCAGCACCTCCACGTAGCTGAGGGGGAAGAAGCCCGACTGCCCGTGGAGCATGCCCTCGTACCAGTTCTCGTCGATCTGGTTGGTCAGCGTGATGATGTCGCCCTCGTGGAAGCCCAGCTCCCCGTCGTTCTCGGGCTCAAAATCATACAGCGCCTTGCAGCTCGGCTGGTCCAGGGGCGCTGGGGTGGGCAGGGGGTAGGGGTAAGGTCTAGGGGTGCAGCTTGAGCACGAGGCTCCCTGGGCTCTACTGCTGTGCAGGGCGAGACAGCCAGGCCCCACCGGGCCCTGCTGTGCCTAGTGTCCCCAAGGAGAGCCACTCCTTTGTCTTGTTCCCTGGGTTGCGGGGAGGGAGCAAGTGACATGAAGATGGCAAGGGTTCTACGAGAGGTCACCACCACGCTCGTGGGAGGAGCGGGGAATGCCTACTGCCCTCAGGGTGCCACTCAGCCTGGAGCCGGTGGGTGCCCTGTGTCACAGCAACACCTCTTGTACACGGGGAGGCCAAGGCCCAGAGAGGCAGGGATAGGCCACCTGGTGCCCAGCTCCTTCCCGGCTCGCGAGGGGCTGGGAGGACTGACCACAGCGGGCACCCACTTCTACCGGAGAAGGGGAGTGAGAAAGAGCCTTCCAGAACAGACAAAGGCAGTGTTGTGTACCGAGGCAGGGGACACTCACGCATGCTCCTGCTGGGGGTCCGGATGGGCTTGTCGGAAGATCGGAAGGACGACGAAGCTGCTCGCAGACAGAGCACAGAGGGAGGTGAGCTGAGAGCTCTGGGGTGGTGGCCGGTCCCATCCCTGGGCTCCCTTTCGCAGAGGGAGGGTGGGGGCTACCCAGCCCCATGGTCTGGAGAGAGTGGCTAGGCCCTGGGGCCGCGCAGCCCTTCGCTGGCTGTTACCTGTGAGGCTGGGGGTGGGGGCGCAGGGGAGGCCCCCGTTGGACTGCTCAGGCTCTCCCAGGTCGAAGGGTTCCCGGGCCTTGGGCTTGTATTCCCGCCTGGGGCGCGAAGAGGCTTCCCGCATCCTGCCGGTGAAGGCACGGGTGTCAGCAGCCATACGGCCTGTTCCTGAGCTCTCAGTGCCAAGGCCAAGGACCCTGCCCCCCAGCTGTTGGTGCTGCTGCCACGTGGGCGGGGAGCCCTGGGGAAGCTGTGAGGAGACACCCCGGGCCGGCTCCCCAGACTCGGGCCAGTTGGCTGTGTCCCATGGAACCCCACCTGGCCCCACCAGGGAACCACTGCTACCCAAGGCTCCCCTTTTCTGCCCCAAGTGCGTGCAGGAGACCGGAAGTGGAGGAGGGGTAGACCTCCCCACCCCAGACTGCCTCCCACCCTCGGGTCACTCTAGCCCTCTCCTTTGGGGACCAGGACGAGCCAGAAGAGGTCCTGCTCCCTCCTGCGACCCCCACTCCCACCCACACAGCCAGGAGAGTTTATGAAAAGCCAGCCCCCAGGCTTTGGAGCCGTTCCCAGCAGCACTGGGCTGTGGGGGGAGGTGTGCGGGGCGTCCAGGGACCGCCTGGGAATCTGCAGTAGCGACTCCAGGTTTCGGGAAGCCCCACAGCACGGAGCAGGAAGGGGCTCACCGTCGCTTGAGCTTGTTGGCCAGCTCATCCAGGATCTGCACGGCCTGCCGGTGGTAGTCCAGCTGGGCGTCCACCAGGGCCGAGAGCTGGCTCACCTGCTCGATCTGCAAGCGAGCGGAGCAGCGGGACTGAAGAGAGGCCCCCCTCTGGCCCCCGCCTCCGGGCTGCCTCCTGCGGGTCCCCTTCCCAGACCGCGCCAGGAACAGGGGCCGAGCTGACCCTCCAGCTGCAGCTGGAGGAGGGTGAAGGGCTCGAAAGAGACCCCAAGGCTTCAGGGAGCTGGTCACTGCTCCCCTCTGGTTCTCATTCCCTCTTCCTTCCCTTCACGCCCCAAGCAGGCACTGAGCCCGGGCTGGGCTCGTTTTAGGGGCTCCCCAGGGTGGCCCCGGGCGCAGAGACGTACGTCGGTCTCCAGGAGGTTGTGCATGCTGGTCTCGGCCACCTCCTTGGACTCCTCGAACTTCTCCAGGGCCTGGCGCAGCTCCTCGTCGGGGATCTTGCCCTGCCGCTTCTTCTTGTAGTCGAAGTCCAGGCGGCGGCCCTCCAGCTTCTTCAGGTGGTGCTGGGGGCGAGGTGAGGGTCACACCGGCAGCTGGCCCCGGGACCTCCGGGGGGGCCGTCCCAACGCCATGCGTCCCTTCCCACTGTGAGCGTGTGTGGTGGCCAAGCCGGGACCCAGGAGGGAGGGACCCCCAAGGGCGTGCTGGGGGCGTACCTGGATCTCCTTCAGGTCTTTGTCGCACAGGTTCTGCAGGGGGTCGATGAAGTTCTGCTTGACCTCTATATCCAGGGAGTCCTTGACCTCGGCCAGGCACTTCATAGACTCCCCCGCGTCCAGCAGGGCGTCGCCTGTGGAAGAGGAGGGGTGAGGGGACAAACCGTCACAAGAGACCTTGGCTTTCGGAGCCAAGACACCCCAACTCCTAAGCAGCCCCATACCCTAGAGCCAAGGACCAGGATGAGAATTCAGAGCAAGTGACCATAAAGCCTAAATCTGAGCCACACTGGCCGGAGACCTGCAATGACGGGAGTCGAGCAGTCTGTCCTCTCGTGCTCTGAGAGGAACCTGGTTTGCTCTGCACCGGCCATGGCACCGGCGCCACGGAGGGACGTGCCCTCCTTGCCACTGTGGGGAAGCTCTGGTCCTCTGGTCCCCAGCCTGGCCACCTCCCCACGCCACCCTGCCGGTTCCTCACCGAAGTTGGACTCGCCGCCCAGCTCCTTCCCGTGGCGGATCATGCACTCGCCCAGGAGGCCCTCCGACTGGGGGTAGCCGGGGCTCTTCACCTGCCCCCGGATCTTGGACACCGTGTTGAGCATCGTCAGCTTGGCTCTTGAGGCTGGAATAGAATGGGCCGGGTGAGCACGTGGGCGATCTCTCCAGGAGCCACATGGCCTGCACTTGGCCAGCACTGCCGGCCGGCTGCCCCCAGGGCCCACTTATTCCCAAAGAGCTCCCCTGGCCCGAGGTGCCTAGCTGCCACGCTTGCTGACGACCAGGCCACAGGAGTGGGCCTGCCCTCCCTGCTCTCGTTGGCCACTAAGGATCATGGGCAGTGGGCCACCTCATCCTAGGGCATGACCCTTCCAACCTTGGCCTGGGGAGCAGCACCCCAGAGAAGTGGTAGTGGGCAGGTATGGGTGTGGACAGGCACTCCAGGCGCGGTCTCTGCCCGGGGTGGGGGAGGAGCTGTGCCCGTGCCTCTGCCCACTTGCGTCTGTCCACCGCGGGCCACCAGGGACAGGCCTGGGTCTGCTGCCTGTCCCGCGTCCACTGCCTCCTGCTACAGGAACCAGGGTTTGGATTTTCCTCAAGGAAAGGCCCCTGCTTCTCTGTCACCCTAGGAGACCCCACTGCATGCTCCAAGGGCAGGAGTGTGGCTGGGGCCCGACGGACGAGGGAGAGGCACCTGATTAACGGGGCTGTTAGCTGTCAGGGTGACTTAAGGCTAGGACTGACAGAGGGCTGAAAGCCGTCAGACGAAGGAAGCAGCAAGGAAACGCGCGAACGTGGAAAGGGCGCCTGTGGACCCCCGGACCCGGCCGTGCCTGAAATCTGCCGGCCCCTGGGCATTTCAGTTCTGTGAGCCCTGACATTCCCCGCTGATGCTCTGGTAACCAGGCGATTCCTGAATGAGGCAGGGATGCTGGGGAGTCGGGGCAGACCCTTTGCAGCTAGCTGGCGCCCTTACCTGGGTTGGGCTGCAGGTATTCAATGGTTCTGGCCAGCACTTCCACCACGGCCTTGCTGGTGACATCCACCTTCTGTAAAGAGAGGCAGCATGTGGGGTTTCGAAACCACCAGGGCGCCCAAGGCCAACCACAGGCCCCTGACACCCCCTGCCCCAGCCACCAGGCCCTGCCGGCCTCAGAGCTCGCACAGGAACTACCGCTGCTCTGGCGCTGCCTGGCCTCTCATCGTTCAGCACAGCGCCCTCGTCGCTGCCTGCCAGGGCTGGGGGAGGCCTGCTACCTGTCCAGTCCATCCTCCTGTGCCTCCCCGGCCCCGGCTGTCAGAGCTGGGTTTGTGGGGGGCCCAGTAAACAGCGCCAGCCTCAAGGGGCACACCACCTCTCCCGTTACCTTCTCCATCTCTTTGAAGTCATCGTCAAGCTTGGTCCCTTCAGCCCCTCCGACCTTCTCGCTGACCAGCTGGGGGACAGAAAGAGGAGGAAGAGTGTGAGTCTCAGGAGAGAAAGAGGAAGCCCCAAGTTTCCTTCCAGCCATGTCCACTGCCGGTGGGAGGGTGGGGGGGTCAGAACACGCACGACGGCTTCCCCGGGATGAAGTCGGCCACCGATGGCAAGACAGGTGGCCGAGTGAGGTCCCGGCTCCAAATCCACACACTCCTTCAACAGATGGGTCCATGTGCCCCTGCAAGTCAGTGGTTCTCGACGTGGCCACACTCTGGGGGTACGAGAGGGAGGTGGGCACAGGTGTGGGGGGCCGCTGTGGGTAGGAGGGAGAAGGTACTGGGGCTGGTGCAGGGCCCAGACCGGGACTGTCACCACCTGGAGCTGCCAGGCATGCTCTGTCACACACCATGCCCTAGGAACCTCACGAGAGAGGCAGAAGCTGCCCCCCAGCTTCTGCTAGCGACTTCACAAGGAAAGACCCTGGCCTCCCCTAGGTGTTTTGGGGTGTTCCACTGTGTTTCACGGGATGGTTTCGCTTCTTTTGCTTATGGTAAAACAGAACGTTCTCAAATTCGGTGGTTACCAGAGAGGGAAGTGAGTCTGCTGCCTGGTGGGGAAGCTTCTCGGCTGAGCTGGGAAGCAGGTGCTCGAGACCGCACCCTCCCGGCCGAGGGCGCTGAAAGGGGCGGCTCTCCCAGGAAGGGCCCTGCCCGCTTCGGCCACCCACTGAGGGACCAACGCTCTCTAGCGTTCTGGACCTTGGCCGCCTTTGAAGAGCGGCGAGGACTCTGACACAGAGGAGAGAATGTGCAGTGGGACAGTCCCCAGAAGGGACTGTGAACAGCCACCAGAGAAGCAAAGCGGGGAAACAGGAAAGAGAAGCCTCTGCCCAGGGGCGCTGGACGACGGCCACCCCTCATTGGCAGGTGCGTCTGCAGTGACCACTGGGCAGCAGCTGGAGGAGTGAGCCGGATCCCGCGAGTGGGGCCGCGGCGCTGTGTCATTTCGGCTGTGAAACCCGATCGACGTGACCCAGAGAACGGACAGGACGGTGTGCAGGCTCCGTGACCCAGCAGACAGTGTACTTTGCTGAGGGGGGAAGGAGGAAGGAGGGGGAGGACAAAGGGGAGGCGGAGGGGGAGAAGGGAGCTGGCACTCAGGGTACCTGGGGCCGCAACGCGGGGATGGGGGTGCCACGCCTCCTGCCCAGCGTGCCTGCGCCTCATCTAGCCACTGTACTCTGGGTGGCCATGCGCGGCACTCGATGACTGGGTCACTGGGCCCCCTGTCCTCTCCTGGCCCGGGCCAGGGTCTGGGCACAGCCCCCCTACCTGCCCTCTGCCTGTCTGACTTCTCCCTGGCCCTCGGGGAGTGTGCTACGGTGACCCTGCCTATAGCGGGCTACAGAGCAGCCCCCTCCTCAGAGGTAAGGGGACCAGGCACGGAGACGCGGAGTCGCTCGTGGGCAGTCTGGAGAGCCAGAGACAGCAGCCCGGGAGCCGGAGGGCCTCAAGGGTTCAGGCCTAGCCACCGGCCCTGTCATGTGACGAGTCACGCCTGAGGCAGGAGGACAGTACGCAAGGCCTCGGAGATTGTCGTGGCCCCAAGGAGTGCCTCTCCGGTGAGGGAGACAGAAACGTCAGAAGTAACGTCAGAAGTAAGAGCGACGCAGGGAGGAACGCAGTGACAGCCGCAGGGAGGTGTTAGCATGCCAGCTCAGTAGCAGGATGTGGCCGTGGCCGGACGGGCCACACAGCCTGGCGCTGGCCACACTGGACCTCAGCAGACGGGTAGGTTCCCAGCAGGCAGAGCAGGGCCAGCCTGGAAGAGGGTCTTCTGCTTGAGATGCAAGTTTGGGGGCGCAAGGGCCACCGTTCCTGGTCCATTGTGAGCCAGGTACTGTGTAGGCACATTCCTGCATGATGTCATTTATTGTCACATTACTTGATGGCACTGCAGGGTCCAATACGCCCAATTACAGATGAGGAAACCGAGGGCTGAGAGACGGCTGAATTTAAAGGCCGTGGAGCTGTACGTGGAGGGACTGTGAGCTGCGACCAGGCCTGCCAGACTGGCCGGTCCACCCTGTGCCGTGCCCTGTCCTGGAGGACTGGTCAGCGATGGAACGGGGTGAAGCTTGGGGCCTGCGCAGGGCCCAGGCGGAAGGGCGTGGGGCCTCCGAGGCCTGGAGAGGCGTCAGACCTCGCCCCACTGCAGAGGCCCCAGGAGGCAACCGTGATGACCCTGGGCAGGGCTGAGGAATTCCTGCGCTGGGATGACGGCAGGGGGTGGGGAGCGAGGCGCAGCTGCACCCCTCCCTGCTAGCCTCCTGCCATCTGGAGGGACGTGCCAAACAGCTCGGAGCAAGCCCTCGGGTTTCCATTACGGTCTTCTGTGTCGTGACTCAGACAGCCCACGACACGGGCAGGGCCCGGCCGACACACGAAGCTGCCCGCCTTCTCGATCTCCTTTGTCTGCTTGTGCTCCCAGGCCCGACTCAGACGCTGGCAGACGTGGGCGGTGCGCTTTTTGGCTAACCAAACTCTTTCTGGAAAAGTGAGCCAAGTGTGCTTCTGGAGAGGTAACAGGCAGTGCACCAGCTGCACCAAAGCCTCCTGCTCTCAACATGTCCATCCCTGCCCAGAAACCTTCAATGGCCCCCAGTGTCACCAGGATATGCAGGACAATTTCCAAAGCCAGGGCCCTTGTGAGTGGCTCCATTATGAAATGCTTGCTGGCGAGGGCGACACTGGCTGCAGGCAGCTCAGAGCGCCCACAGGGCCCAAGGGTGAAGGCCAGAGGCGTGGGGCCAGGCCACTACCCTTAGGGGTGACAGAGAGGTGCCACCCTCCTAGCCCAGCCGGGAGAAACCGGAGGGTGGACATCAAGCCTCAACCCAAGGAGACGGTGAGCAGGAAGACAGGCCCTGGGGGCCAGGGAGAAGCCCACTCCATCACAGCCCCCAGTAGACACTAAGCTGACTGAATGAGTAAGTCCTCACCCGCTGTTAAACCCGCAGAGGGAGGTGTCCCCGAGTCAGAACTCCCTCCCCCGCAATGGGAACTCCAAAACAACCCGGGATTTGCTGGTGCCCTTCACGCCTCCCGGCACGTTTCCTCTTTACCTCAGATCAAAGCTAAAAGTTTAGAAAGCAGCTCTGTGAACGGGAGTGGTGGAAATAATCAGCCAGGAAGTAGCTTCTAAAGTTACTCTGTAGGTGGAAACCCCAAACTGAGCACCGTGACCATCGGCTCAGGCCCCAAGGGGCAGACACGGCCCACAGACACAGCGTGCGCAGTGAGTCCCGGGTTTGCTGGGAAGTCAGTTCTGACAGCAGCAGCAGCAGAGGGAAGCCCAAGGCCTTCTCTCAGCAGACAGGGCAGGTGCTGGGGTCTGGGGCTGGTGGCTGAGAAACCAGCTCAAAAGCAGAACCCTCAAGTCCCCCAGGCTGCAGGTACGAGGCAGCTGTGGGGTCTCCCACCTGGGGTGGGGGATGTGGGAAGGGAGGGGGGCTGGCTGTCGCTGTGGAGAAGTCTGGCACAGGGGCCTTAGTCAGACCCGGCCTCTCTCAGTCTAGGTAGTTTTCTGCCACAAGCAGCACCAGCCATTGAGGTCACATCTCAGGGCGGCTCAAGCCCACCCGCCTCTTGACACACACGCATCGCAGGACTGCCTGGCTCCCAGCTCCTCCAGTGGGGCCGGCCCAGGGGGATCCATGCTTTCTGTCTGCACGGCGCTAAGCTGACTGCCACGTGAAGCCTCAGCTGCTGCTTCCCCGCCTGGCATGCGCTGTCGAGATGAGGGGGAAACCCGTAAACAAGAAAAGTCCTCTCAGAGTCACCCGTCTGGCTTAATGCAAGAGTCTGAGCTGGAAACGGCTCGGGCACTGGGAGCAAAGTGGGTACCGGCCATTGGAAAGAACTGACTTTCGAGGAAGAGGTGATGGCGGGTGAAAGACAATCACGAAGTGACCATTAGGATGGAGTGGTGAGCAGATGACAAAGCTCCTCGAGACATGACTGAGGTCCGGCTTCACGCTCTGGCCTCCTCCTGCAGGTCCCCATACCTAAAGCCAGGGGTCCCTCCGGGTGAGCACAGAGAAAACTGCCCCTGCAGACATGGGCTGAAAGGAACAATTTTTCTTTGCTGACGGCAAAGTCACCAGACCTTCACGAGTGCCTGGTCCAGCCCTCATGTCACCGTCACACTGTTTTCCTGATGAGACCCCAGACTGTGACACTAGCTTTAAATACCGGAACCTTCACGAGGGCCCCTGTGAGATCGCAGAAGCCCCTCTGCCCGCCCCCCGCCCCCGGCTCACACTCACATCATTTTCCTCCCCTGGACCCCTGGGCGACCTCCTCGCCGGTCTGTCCAGAACCTTCGGCCCCAGCACCAGTAACCGATGGCAAGCTCCCAGGGCACAAGGTCCCCATGTGTTGCTTTCTGCTGTCACCCGGCACCATGCGTGGGAGGGACGGATACCGTCTGACTGGTGGGTCCAATGCTCTACACCCAAATTGCCCTGCGGGCCAACTGTGGCTGGCCCCCCGCCCGCACGAACGCATGCCCTGGACAGGGTCAAAGCGGGTGTGGGCTGTGCCCGGGCTCCGTCCTCACCTCCCAGAGGAGCGGCTAACAGAACGCAGCACGATAGCACGAGAGGGCCCGGAGCTAGGGGCACATGTGACCACAGGGCCAGAGGAGTGGGGGCTGGGCAGACACAGGTGGCTGCAAGGGGCCTTGGCCTCAGCCCTGTTCGAGGGATGTGCCTCCCTCCCTTGCCCCTGGTGACTCAGGGGTCCTTGCAGACGGGGTGACAAGGAACCCACACCCTGCCCGGCCTGCCCTGCCCGTGGATGGTGGCGGGAGAGGCAGGCTGAGTTGTGGCCCGGTGGCCCAGAGGCTAGGCCCTGGGCACCCGCCCTACACGCTGTGGTGGGCGGCGGCCTGGGGTCAGGACAACAGGTACCCTAGTGCCGGCCCCTCTGGGGACCCTCCCCACTTCCTCACCTATGACCGAGAGCACTGGCCCAGGTCCAACTCTAAGGACTGGCAGCCCTGAGATTCCCACTCAGACGCCAGCCAGCTTCCCAAGAGGAAGCA